CTCCCTCCTGTGAGAGGAACTGCATGATAAATATTCACCAGTTAAAAAAGACGCAAGGTCAATCTACTGTTATGACTGCAATGAAGCTTTTAAGTGAACCTCTTATTAATTACAGCATGATCTACATTTGGAAAGACAGGCACCTGGGTGTGGGAGACACATTGTTTATCAATCTGTAGACAATGCTTAGGGGAGACATTGATTAGCAGATACCCTGTTTAAAATGACAGCTCTGCATGGCCCCACCACAGGCTGGAAACCACCGATCAGTACCATGGAGGCCTGCCACAGTTATTTCCACTCTATCCACAATCTAGTCCCATGCATATATTCCAGAAAGTCTAATTAACAGCCACCCTAGCCATGGGAAAATCACTTCCGATTCAGGAAAACAATCCTGACCTCCAGAGTAAACTCATGAGTAAGAAAAAACTACCGGCACCGCAAAAGATTTGCGACGCAAACACATCACAAAAAGAGGAAAATGTTCTCCTTGGAAAAGATTCTCAAGTGAAGCAAGTAAAATTCACAGCATGGCTGTTTTCTTTTTTCAATGAGATAAAAGAACACACTGCATCACATCAAGAAGAGCCCGTCTGGATAAAATGTACCGTGCAGTAGAATGAAAACCACAGCAGACTAAACAAAACCTTTGCTGAAAGCAGGATGTGGAGAACCGACCCTGAAAAAAGTAAAAATGTGGTGAGTTACAATTATTTTAAAAAACACCTCCAAAATATCAAGAAAATATAAAGATAAAATCAAGAAAAGTAAGTGAGGATGATAACGCAAAGGACACAGCCCAGATTCCCAACCCGTGAACAGCGAGAGTCCCTGATGGAGACGAGTGCACACCTCAAATGCAGCAACAGAGCTGCAGCGCAGAAAAGACGGCAAAGACTTGGCATGTCTGTACTCTACTACAAATGAGAATGAAAACAGTATCAATACACAATCTGGTGAAAATTTAAACTGTAAGGGAAAGAATCTTGAACAAAGATCAGACAAGGGTAAGCTGACTTTCAGATAAAATTATATTTTGAATTTCTCTTCTTCAGTAAACAATCAAACCTATAGATGTTTCTCAGGAAAGGATGTGAGATCAGAATCGTGCATCTTGATACCTACAAAGAAAAAAACCAAAGATACTCTCTTTTTTATAAACTTAAAATGTTCACATGGCAAGTGTTCACTCGGCAAAGTTGACTTGAGATCAAATTCCAGAATCATCCAAGAACCAGTGAAGAAAGAGGGTGTAGGGATAAGGAAAGGCATTAGGTGATAAAGCAGTCAGTTCTCCAGGAAGACATAACAGTCATCACTGTGTATGCACCAAACAACAGAACACCCAAATACATGAGGCAAACTGATGGACTGCAAGCAGAAATGGCCAATTCAGATACCGGATTAGAACAAACACCTCAGAACCTGGGGAGCAGTGCTCACTATCATATGCCATTAGGGAACTGAAATTAAAACAGTCGGATGTCACTTCACACCTGTTGGTATGGCTAACATTCAACACACTGACAACACGAAATGCTGGTGAGGATGCCGAGCAACAGAAACTCTCATTCCCTGCCGGCAAGAACGCAGAGCAGTGCAGCTACCTGGCAGCCTCTTATAAAACTGAACGTTTTCTTACCACACACTCCAGCAATCGTGCTCCTTAGTATCTATCCAAATGGGATGAAAACTTATTTCCACACAAAAACCTGCACACACATGCTTCTGATAACCTTATTCATCACTGCCAAAACTTGGAAGCACCTAAGTTGTCCTTCACAGGCAAATGGATAAACAAACGGTGGCACCTACGCAATGGAATATTACACAGCAATAAAAGGAAATGATCTGTTCAAGCTGTAAAAAGATATGGGGGAACCTTCAATGCATATTACTGCACAAAAGAACCCCATCTGACAAACATATGTACGTATGATTCCAGCTATACGACATTCTGGGAAAGGCAAAGCTATAGAAACAGTAAAATAAAATAAAATAAAATAAAATAGTGGTTGTCAGGGTTAGTTGGGTAGAGAGGAGATGAACAGGCGAAGCCCAGAGGTGTTTTAACGCAGTGAAGCTATGCGATGCGTAAGTCAATGCCTTCGTCAAAGCCCACGAACAGTACAACGCAGAGGGAGCCTGGTGTAAACCACGGACTCTTACTAATAACAGTCACCAACATTCACCGGCCAATTGTGACCACACTGACGCAAGACGTTGATAACAGGGGCACCTTCAGGAGCGGAGGGGAAAGCAGGTAAGGGAGCTCAGTTTTACTGTGTACTTAAAAGTGCTCTAAAAATAAAGCCCATTACTTTTTAAAAAGTAGATTAACAATTTAAATTTGCTTAATTAACAAATAAGATGAAAATGGCATGAATATGTACAACTTTTACAACTAAAAACACTAATATGAAAATCCTTTTCTTTTTTTCAGACAGGGTCTTGCTCTGTCACCCAGGCTGGAGCACAGTGGCAGGAACATAGCTCACTGCAGCCTCAACTTCCCAGGCTCCAGCGATCCTCCTGCCTCAGCCTCCCCCATCCCCACCACCAAGTAGTTGGGAGTACAGGTGCACACCACCACCCCCAGCTAATTTTTCTGTTTTTAGTAGAGACCGGGTTTTGCCATGTTGCCCAGGCTGGTCTCAAACTCCAGAGCTCAAGTGATCCGCCTGCCTTGGTCTCCCAAAGTGCTGGGATCACAGGCATGAGCCACTGCGCCAGGCCTGAGAATCCTTTCTTTGAATATTAAACAGAAACAAAGTTTCCAGCAGTAAGTGACACACTGAATACGGAGGGGTCTGGGCCTGTATCAAGGCACTAGTGCAGATGGAGTCAGGGAAAAGCCAAGATAGCGCTGAAGCAAATTATTGTGAAAGATTGCAACCTGAACATCAAAAAGCAAAACAAAAAAGAAATAACTGAGAACACCCCACCGACCCCCGACTCCTCCACCCCCACTCCACCCCCACACACAAAAAACCCAAGAACCATGAATGACAGATGCAAAACGTTACAAATAGATCACATAAATATCAAGATGTCAATTCTCCAATTAAATGCAGAGATCCTCAGACTGGCTTTGAGAGCATAGCCAATAACACACCTTTTAGAAGAATCATCTCAGCACAAAGTGGCATAAAGGCTAAAAACAAGCTGCAGAAGAGGCACCAAATGCCATTTAGAAGCAGGCAGGAAACCGGACGATGATGCAGACTGCTCACATCTTCTTTGCTCACATCCAAACTCCCTGAATTTAGCTGAAAAAAGTGTCTAAAGGCCTGTTGGAGCACAAAAATAATGACTCTGTGTGTGGACTGTCATTTGTGATGACTCTGAAGGCGGTAGGAGCAGCTCGCTGTGGAGGCAGGGCCAGGACGCAGGAGGGCACTCAGGGGACCCCCCCTTCCAGCATGGTGGCCCCTCTGCCCCAGGCTAGCTCCACCAACCCGCCTCCTCTCCTCATCCCCGGAGGCCAAAGAGAGGGGCCCGGCCAAGGCTGTGGGTCAAGTGGCCTGTGGGAGATGGAGGGCGGCACCTGCTGAGGCGTTTCTCCAAGCTCCCAGGACAGCCAGGACAGCTGGTTCCTGCCACCACGTGTGCAGCTCCCAGGGGACCTGGTCTGTCACCACAGGAGACCACAACTGGGACGGGTGAAGGGCAATGAGTGATACCATAAATAAATGAAATATCTCCCCTGTATATTCAGAATTGTAGCCACCCTCCTAAGAAAATAAAAAGACATACGAAAGACTGTTCAAACTCAGTAGCAATCAAGAAAATACAAATGGTAAGTTTCTCACACACTAAACTGACGATGAGAATGCTGTTCACCTTTCCTGTAAAAGTTTTGAGAAATGAGAGTATCAGTAAGTTCTCACTGAGAACATTTATAAGTTATCACTGACATAGGATTCTCCACTTTTTGATGCAAAACTTTTTTTTTCCAAATTTTTAACCTGAAAAATAACATAAGAAAAAATAATATAAGGAAAAAAGCCATAAGCACAAAGACATTAAAGACATTATAGCTATCTCTGTTATATACTATAGATATAAAAATATTAAAAGGTTATATAAATATATACAATAGGTATGTAAATGTTGACATATAACAGAAGCATAGAAATAATCTAGTTGTAAAATAGTGCAAATTTTTTGGTAAAATATGTAACAGAACACTTTATATTATGAGCAATATAGAGTAATATGGAAAGTGCTTTGAGTGCACATTAAATTTACAAGCAGATGGTGGGCCTGGCATGGTGGCTCACGCCTGTAATCTCAGCACTTCGAGAGGCTGAGGTGGGCGGATCACCTGAGGTCAGGGGCTCGAGACCAGCCTGGCCAACATAGTGAAAACCCATCTCTACTAAAGATTCAAAATTGAGCAGGGTGTGGGGGCCTGTAGTCCCAGTTACTTGGGAGGCTGAGGCAGGAGAATGGCTTGAACCAGGGAGGCGGAGGTTGCAGTGAGCCAAGATGGGGCCACTGCACTACAGGCTGGGAGACAGAGTGAGACGCTGCCTCAAAAAAGGTAAGAAAAAATAAAAAATAAAGGCAGGCGGCTGCACAGCAGAGACAATGTAGGACCATGTAAATTACAACTCTGTAAATTCCACAAAGAAAGGAGAAGCCACATGGGAAAGGAGTGAGTGAGTGCATCTGGAGCCGTGGCGTGTGGCTGAACTCCGCGTCCCGGGAAGCAGCGTCCGCGTGTGTTGCAGTGAGCTGCCCTGGGCAGACCAAGGCCTGTGCACGCCCTTCCAGGCCTCCTTCCCACGCTGCTTGCCCCTGGTTTGTGTTCACACCCCTTCCCGGAGACAGAGGCTCCCAGGGTATCCCCAGAACAAGAATGTGCGGGGCTCACAGTGGGCGCTGAGGAACGTCTACGGAGTAGATCCCAGCCTGGGACTTGACTGATGTGTGTTAAGAGACTCAGGGTCCTGTTCACATTCCACTAGCAACAGATTTAAGGAACACACGTGCTTTGAAGAACTTGGAGATTTAATTTCATAAAAATCACAATGTATTTTCACAACTTAATGTCATTCATCATCTTTCTTCTACTATAAACTACTTTAAGCGTGTAATTCTTCCCAATTTCTTATTTTTGGCCAAATTATATGTAGATAATAAAGGGACTGCAGAAGCCAAAACATACAGCCTATAAATAAAGTGCATGATGTTCTATCATTGGAATTAAAAGGTTTAGACAGGCTTTGTTCATTACATCTCTTGAAATATTAGCTATATAGATGAATATGGTAACAGTTAAAAAACAAATAATTCCATCTAAAGTAAAGAGAATTCCTTGATTTGCTTCACTAGAAACTGAATAAGGAAAGAGACCCAAGTGTAAATGGTACAAGTACAGTGTTCTCACTTCTCGGTGCTCACAGGCGTGATGGGGGTCTGGCACCTGGTTTCTGGGGGTGCAGGGGAGCCTGGGCAATGGCTAAACACGGACCCGTCACTGAGCAGCGGCCTCGGCCTGCAGCAGCCGGTGTGCCCGCCACAGCATGGTTGCAGGGGCCCGTGGCATCGTCACCATGTGTCAGCTGGCTGCTGCAGCCCCGGCCTGATAAAAGCAGACACGCTGCTCCCTGCTGCCCTTCCCTGCAGGGGAGTCCTGCGGATGGCTGGTCCGCTCCAGGTGATTAGGGGAGAGTTACATTAAGAAGCCACCAAGAGGGATGGGAAAGGGCCACAGAGCTCCACAGAAAACTCACTCTGAAACAAGGCAGACGTGGGGGTGCAGAGGGGCTGAATGAAATCATGGTCACAGTTTTAAAGGAAGACTTTCCAGTATCTAAACCAGGTTTGAATGTCTCACCCACATTTCACAGACGCCACGAGTGCTGCTGGCACAGGGTGAGCCTCGTAGCCTGTATCTCAGTGGTGTCTTAATTCACATCTGTGACCCCAAACCTGTGCTCCACAGGATCATGCCCACACACGGGTCCGGAAGGATGGTCCCATCTCCTCCGGGCTGCGTCTGAGGCCACACGTTCCCCTCAAACAGGAGACACGCTGGCGCCATTCCCGCCTCTCCAGGTCAGTAGGCACTCAGCGCGGGTCGGCCTCACGGTGACCAGAGGCAGCACACGGTGCCACCTACCGGGTGGTCTTCTTGTTAGAAACTCGGCAGAGTGCCCGTGAGTGATGAGCAAGACTGTCCAGCGAAGGTGGTGCCTTGGAAAGTGCCTTCCATTTTCCACCTGGACACCGGGCACTGCCTGGATGCGGGGCTCCTGTGGCCTGACAAGCAGCACGGAGGCTTGCCCATGAGGAAGGAGGGCATCCTAAGGCTGAACTGGGGTCCAAAGAGGCAAAATTCACAGAGGACGGCCGAGAAGCTCCCCCAAGCACTGGCACCATCAGGAGGCCTCAAGGCCCAGAGCGGCTCTTCACGTGGACAAAGGGGTCACCCTCACCTGGACAGTCAGCAACCCCTGCCCAGGGTTCGAGCTCGTCTGGGGCAGGAGCCCCAAACTGATCCCACAGCGCAGGCTGACACACGCCAGCACCACCTATGGAGTCATGCACCATGGCTGGCACCAGCTGCGGGGAGCTCGCCGCTTGGTGAATTCAGAGACTGGGGACTTCACACGCTTTTCCCCACGTGCCCCCAGCTGCCTCTGCCTGACTTTCTGGGGGTGCGTGGGAACCTGAACCACCTCTTTGGCCCTGAGCCCCCAAGTCCCACCAAGGTACAGAGGCTGAACACCCCCTCCCGTGCTGTGGGGCCCCGAGTGTCCTGGCCTTGCTGGGCCTGGTGCTCAGTGATGAAGGAGGCTTGAGGGCAGCTTTGCAGCCAGACCACGGTGTCCTGGGAGTCCCCAGACACGAACGAGTCACTCAGACATGAGGCAGGAGGACCCACGCTGGCCTGGGCATCAGGCTGCTGGGCTGAGCAGGGAGCTCTGACAGCCAGAGTCACAGAGGAAGACGGCTGTCTCAGACCGCAACACCCATGTCCAGACAGCGGCAAGGAGAGGGTCCCACAGGCACAGGCAGGCTGTCTCATTCCATTGAGGGGTGTGCTCTGAGTGCAGGCCGGCTTGATGGGCAGCCTCCCGGCTCACACGGCTGACAGGTCCACGCGGTGAGCAGAGTGGCTGCTCTTGTCCCAAGGGCTGAGCTTGGTGGAGGCGGTGCCTGGCCGGGTCCCATTCATCTGCAAAGCACAAAGGGGTGAGCAGTGGAGGGCCTGCTGCCAGGGGCAGAGCCCCAAGCCCAGTGTGTGGGAAGCATGGGGCCCACTGCTGCCTGAGGATTCTCCTTGCAGGGAGCAAAGTGCAGAGAGAGGGGCGAGCCCCCGTGCTCCGGGGGAGACGAAGATGTGCACACTGTGGCGTCTCTACCCACAGAGCTCTCCGTGCTGACCTCCCGGCACCCACAGAGCTCTCCCTGCTGACCTCCCTGCCCAGGCGCCACGGGCGCACTGTGCCCTCACTCCCTCATCTGTTCAGCCACCCGCCTGTCACCCACGCTTCCACCCCCACGCATCCGTCCACGCTGTGTTCATTCCATGTGACTCATGGAGTGCACCACCCACCGGGCACAGCTGTAGCTGTGGGGCTAGAGCAGGGCACGAGCCAGCCATCTCCCATGGAGCAGGGCAGACGTGGTCCCCAAGCGAATGGAAAACCACATAGCTGCCGATGGAGGTGAAGTGTGAGCACGGGCGGGAGCACCTTGACTGAGTGTCGTGGGTGGGGAAGGACTTCCTGAGGATGGGACAGTGGAGCAGGGCCCCAGCAGGGGGAAGGCAGCGGCGCAGTGACAACGCTAATGGGGCCTCCTGGGCTCTGGTGGCAGAGGGGATGGGCCACCTCACAGTCAGCTGATCTCTAAGTCCTTCCATCCCCCTAAGTGAACACAAGAAGTCTGGATCCTTCAGGGTCAAGAGGGAGGGCTGTGGTGACTTCATCAGGACACAGGGCACTCTGTGGGGTGACAGGAGCCCAGAGCACCTGCAGTCTGCGGGCCTGTGTCAGGCATGAGGGGAACAAGGACTGCCAGGTACCCGAAGCCACCTCTGCTGCTTGCACACCCCGTCCTGCTGACGACCAGGCCTGGGGAATGAGGCTGGGCTGGGCCCCTGGGTCTAAGGAGGCTGAACTCACGATGTCCGAGTGGAAGGGCTTCGCAGTGGCGGTGCGGGTGCAGCTGCTCGTGAGGGACCAGACCTTGGTTTTGTGCTTGAAGGCGGCTCTCACCTTGAAAGCAGGGAAGGGATCATGAGAGGCCATTTCAGAGGCTGCAACAGCCGCAACCCGAGGAGTCTGCCGATGCAACGTGGAAGCGTGCGGGGAGGCTGGGATTTGGACACGTGACAGATGGAGCTGGTGGCTGCACAGCTGGGCTGCACATCGCTACTGCATGAGGCAGACCCAGTGCGTCGCAGTCCAGGGAAGCTGGGGCTGGAGTGGCCTCTGCTAGGCTCCTCACTCAGCAATGAACGTCCCGGGGTGATAAACTAATGCGTGGTGAGTGGGCGGGAAGGTGGGTGGGCATGCTCCCGTGACCACACAGCCTTCCCCTCACACAGATCCGCCTCAGGCCTTGCAAGGGGTCGCTGGGCTTTGCGATCACTTCTGCCCGGCCCGTCCTGCTCAGCAATGCTGTGCTCTGCCCTCCACAGCCCACCTGGCCTGTCCTTACAAACGGACACCACCACTCAGACGGACTGGGCAGGGTGCCCCTCTGCCTGGGGCCCATTTCCCACCCCAAGGTAGCTCCCACAACCTCAGCCTGGCAGGGGCTCAAAGCCAACTGGTAGAAGTTGTCCCATGGGACTAGGAGTCCTTGGGGCAGCCCCTACGTCCCGTCACTCAAGTACACGGCAGGTGCCAGGCCCAGAGCAGCCCCGAGAAGGCCTGCGCTGGGGGCCGAGAGTCTAAGGAGGCCACATCACGAAAGCCCCCTTCCCAGCTCCTGTGGACTGAAGTCCTCCCTCTCACACCCAGGCCAGCTTCCCCGAGGCCCGTGGGGAGCCCACATCTCACTCTCCCCCAGATGCAGACGCCACTTCTCCAGGGAGAGGGGATGCTTGTAAGTCGCTTGGCAACCAGGCGGAGAGCAGAGCTGCTGGGCAGCAGGCCCAGGGCACACGACTTGTCATTGGAAACGCAGCTGCTCAGGATTTGGGTCCCAGACACCAGTCTGATAGGGCAATGCTATTGCCACTCCTGTGACCTTTCAGAAAGGAAAAGCCATTGCCTACTGCCAGGAAGTGGAGCGGACGTACCTCTGAATTCAGGAGACAATGAAAGAGGAAGATGAACAGTCCCTGGGAAGGAAGGGAAGAAACACGCAGATGAGAGCCCTTCGCGTGTAGTTGTGAACGCTGTGTGGAGGGTCCCCCCACGCAGCCCGAGAGCAGCACTGGCACTGTCTGCTGTGACACCAGGCCGCAGGACCTGGGGCCCAGGAGGACGGAGGGGCATCCTGGGCCCCACCGGGTGACCCAACCTAGATTCAGGCAGCTGTTGGAACCGAGTTCAGAGAGGGGTGCTACGTGGGCAAAGGTGCAGCAGCAGATGGGTTCCCAGGCAGGCTCGGCGTGGGGAGGGGCAGGCACTCCCAGAAGAGGGGCCACTGGCCAGCAGACACAGATGCACCTGGAGCAGCCCTGGGGGAGGGCCGGGAGGGCCGTGGATGGTGACAGGGACCCATGCCTGCCCTTCCTTGGGGGCCTGAGAGCTCTGACCCTGGGCACCCCAAGTCTCTGGTTCCCAAGTGACCCTCCCTGGCCCTTCACACAGAGGACAGCACCATCGCCAACTCTCTGCCTGGCTTCTTTTCTAGAGCTGCCGCAGGCTGACTGTCTTACTTCATTACATGCCTGGACATGCCAACTACGGATGCCAGCCAGAAGCACAGACAGTCCTGCCCTGAAGAGGTAAGGACCCTGCAGGCCCCTCTTGCTCAGAGCCCTAGGGCGCACTCCACCTTCTCTGTCCTCACCCTGCACTACAGGCTCATGGGGAGTGTTGGGGAGGCCAGGCCTCTCAGCTATGCCCCACACTATAGGCTCATGGGGTGTGTTGGGGTGGCCAGGCCTCCCCCGCCCCTGCAGACCTAACCATGCACACCCACTCCTGACGACTGGCGGCCCTCCTTCCCTGCCAGTCCCCACGGGTTCTTACCTGCAGGGAGTTGAGTGTGGCAAACATGTACTGGAAAACCACGGCGCAGCCATTGACAGCAAGCACCCCAAAGACCCACGAGGTGCCCAGGATGGGCAGCAGCACGGCCACTGCCTTGGCCGTCAACCTGGGGAGAGAGCGAGTCACCCTGAGCGGCAGGAGGGCAGGTGCGGGCTGTGAGGACTGCCCTCGAGGCACCAGGCTTCCAGACAGCTGCAGGCACCACCCTGCTGGGAGCAAGACCTGGAGTCCTCCCTACAGGCAGCCCTGGGTGAGGACTTACCCAGGAGGAGCCTCAGTGTCTCCACACCGCTGTCCCTCACAGCTGGCGGGTGGGACAGGGCTCTGGGAGAGTTCAGGTAGTACTCAGAGCTTACCCAAGCCGTCGGGAGAGCCTGTCCAGCCCCGGGACTTGTGTTTGAGCTGTTTGCAAAGATGAGGAGGAGAAGCCAGGCCGGACGGAGAGACTCGGGGACGGGAGCAGCAGAGGGTCCCCTGCAGCCCCCAGAACCCAGGCCTCCTGTGAGACGCCTGGAAGGGACAGGGAGGCCTGGGCCTGAAACGGGGACACAGGCAGGCACCGCCCTCCAGGCCTCGCTGGCTGCAGCCCACGTGTCCCCCACCGATCACCCGAGCCCTCCTGTGACACTGACGGTGAGCTCTCAGAGGGCAGGACCAACGACCGTCTTCACAGCCCTGGTCATGCTCAAAGGACGTGCTGAAGGAAGGCTTGCCACACTGCACTGCGAGCTGACACGCCGCCCCTTCCGCACCACCCCCACCAGCACACATCTTTATCTCCTCAGAGCCCCATGGCCCGTCTGACACAGGAGAGGCAGGTTACACACTGACCCCATTGTATAATAAGGAAACTGAGGCCCCACGGCACCCCGTAACGGCTGAGCTGATACAGAGTTTCATCAGGGGCAGAAGCGGAGGGCATGCAGACGTCTCCACCTGGGCCAGAGTTAGCACCCACCAGGGCTGGACCCGCCAGCTGTCTGCCTCAAAGCCATTCCTGATGTGCTGGGTGAATCATGGCCAGCCAACTCCAGTCCAGGCCATCCTGACTTCTGAAACAGCTGGGCTTTCCACAGCAAAGACCTTCTGCCTTTCGGCTTCAGAGAAAAGTCTAGAGACGAGCGGGGTTCCTGCTACCCTGGTCCAACTGTCACGTGCCTCCGTTCACCCCTTATCACTAGCCCAGTGACTGAGACTCTGTCTCCCTCAGTAGACTGCAGATTCCCTAAAGCCTGGGACTTGTTTTTGTCTCTGCGACCCCAAAGTGCATCCCAGCGCCAGGACTCAGAGGCTCTCGGGAAATGAACAGTGAATGAATGAATGATGAACAAATGGATGGACGAGCAAAAGTGCTGCCCATAGATCTGGCACCTCCCCAGAGGAGGTGAGACGCAGCCATAACGAGCTTCCTTGTCAAGAGCCCAAGAGCCCAGCACTGACAGCTCCTGGCAACAGGTGCCTGTAAAACCCAGAACTGTCCCAGCACTTCAGAGCGCAGAGGAACTGTACACTAATGCAGTAAAAATAAAACACCTGTCTCTGGGAAACAAAAATATCATGCATTATTCAGCAACAATCTTTAGATCCCGGGAAACCACACCGCAAAGGAAAGGTCACCGAGAAATAGGTACCAAAATGTGCCACTTTTAAAGTGACAGCGATGGGGTAAACACGCTGAGCTGAAGCTCTCTGAGGACTCTCAACGTGCCCAGAGCTGTCGGTGAACCCGGACGTGCGGGCAGCCCTGCGCAGGGCAGTGTGCTTTCCTCTCTGATGCTGTGACCCCGTCCTGCTCCCTCAAGGCCGACCTGTGGGGCTCAGGCCCCGAGTGAGTCTCCAGCCCCCAACATCCACCTGCTTGTGGGTGCACTTCCATGGGGATCCCACCCTCACTGCCCCATCCTCAGGGCCCTGCCTGTAAACACTGAACATTCTCTGCTTCTTTTTCAGGTGTCTGGAATCATGATCAATAAGCAGAGACTTTTTTAGAAAGTGAAAGCCAGGCTCCTCCTGCTTCTCAGACCTCACCTATTCTATTCTCCACTTTTCTTGGAAAAGAAAAAACGTGAAAGGCACCTGTGTGAAGGGTCCCTGAGGAAGAGTCTTATCTTGTTAGTCACTGAGGGCTGGGCTCCTCGGCGCTAAGAAAGCCACCAGATTAAAGCCGGCGGAGCGGGGACAGGAAGGTGCTGAAGCAGCCTCCTCACGCTGCAGTGACGGCCGCCTCCTGCCTGGGCCGGCAGCCCTGGGAATCAAGTGCTATGCCATCCACACTACGAAGAGAGTCGGGAAGCCCCCGGGGGCAGAGCTGGGCGGCCGAAGGCATGTGGGTTTCATAATGAAGAGACACCCAGAGTGGGCTGTCCCCAGAGATGCCTGCCTGCACCTCCCCGGGAGGGACGAATCCCTGGGCTGCCAAGCGCAGACTCGGGTGGGAGCAGTAGGCAATGCCTAGCTGTGCCCTGCAAAGACCTGGGGATGCTCTCCCAGGACACACTGCCTACCTCACGCCTTCACAAGAGCTGCAGACACAGTGCCAGCCTGTTGCTTGGGGGATGTTTCCACGGAGAAGCAAAGGCAGTGGGCAGAAGCTGCTTCCTGGGTGGGCACTGACAGGAGGATGGGGGGCAGAGGGGTAGAAAGGGAAGGCGGTGCCCAAGTGCGGGTCAGGTGCACGAGGTGTTCTGGTGGCAGGGAGAGTAGTGGTCCTGTGGGGCTCAGACAGGGGAGGGAGCTTTTGCTGGAGATAAGCTGGCCACGGACTGGCCGACCCTGAAGGCTGGGTGAGGGCCTTGGGAGCACAGGGCTGGGGGCAAAGGAGGGACAGGTCCCTCCCTGGCCAGGCCACACAGGGGCCAGGGACCAGCCTGGTCTCAGCAATGGAGGAGGAAAGGACATGGCCTCTGACCCCGCGAGCATCTCTTCTTGCAGGGGGCACAGCCCTTGAGGGTTTCAGCCTCTCGTCAGGTTAATCTGGTGTCTGGAATTCACTACAGACTAATTCTCTCACAGATTCACTGCTGACATATTTACCACTTCTGCTTTTACATCAGAAAAGACACTGTGGCTGGTCACATTACAGAATGTCAGCTGCCTGGTACCCATGCCCTGCTTTCCACAAGGCCTCCAAAGTCCCTGTGAGGGCTGGCCTCCCCAGCTTTCAGGCCCTGTGGTTTGGGGGAGCCGACTGCACCCCAGAGCCAGGGTGGACTCGGGTCAGGGCGACGATGAATCCCCCTCTGCAGGGTCTGGCTCAGGGAGGGCACAGGCCCAGCCGGAGTCCTCATCCTCCTCCAGGCACAGGCCCGGGTCTGAGCGGCTGGGACAGGGACTCCCCCGTGGGCCTGAAGCCCTGCCACAGCCATTCTGCCACCAGGGGGCACGGTGGACCTCGGGCTGATGCCAACACCCAGGATGCGAAGGAGGAGCTGGGCCCGGGGCTGAGCTCTGGACCAAGGCTTCTGAGCGCGGGACTCCACAGCCACCTGCGGCAGGAAGCCCCCCTTCGGCTTAGGCCCGTGCACGCTGCGATTTCTGTCACTTGCAATCGGCAGGGCCCTTACAGACGCAGGTCAGGAGACCTCGATGGCAGTGAGGTGTGTGGGTGGAATCCCTCCCAGAGACCCCGCCCTCCCCAGGACACTGCTCTCCCTTGGACCTTCCCTGACGTGCCAGCCGAGAGGAACCTGCCATCATCCCATTCTGCTCGTGAGGATGGTAAGGTGCTGAGGGGCTAAATAACTCGCTGAGCCCAGCAGATGGCCAGGGCAGAGGTGGGACTGGCAGGGGCACTCTGGCTCTAGAATCTTCCCTGTTGCCGCCCTCCAGCTGCTCATCACCCTGGGATGAAGCAGTCCCTAGGAAAACATCTGTCGATCCCGTTCTTCTACATACAGGAGCCTGAGGCTGGGTAAAGGCCTCGTCCCGGCTCACCAGAGCCAAGCGAGGGTGTGAGGCCAGTGCTGCCTGGAGACAGCGGGACACGGAGCAAGTGGAGGACGTGGGTGCCGGTCACAGGAGGAAGGAGTTGCTGTCTCTCCTGAGACCTCGGAGCAGCCCTCTTGGGGCAGAAGGGCCATGGCACTGCTGGCAGCTTGAGGTCAACTTACTTGAAGGCACTGGGGTCTCCATGGATCTTGTAGTTGTCGGCGCTGATCTGCGAGATGACCCTGGTCACCGCGATGAGGATGCCGATGTTGACCTGCAGAGGAAGCCATGCAGGAAGGTGAGGAGGGCCCGGCTGCACCTGCAGGGGAGCTGCGTCTGCCTGGCCGCTGCCCTTGCCACGGGCTAGCCCTGCCCAGCCAAGGCTCCTGGGAGACAGGGGTGTCACTGGGACAAATCTCACCCCGGTCCGTGGGCTTTTACCAACACACATAACACACACGCTTGCCTCTGACAGCTCCTGTGCTGAGAAGACAGCAGACACGTTCTAGTTCCAGGAACCCATCCGGGCATGAGGGGATGAGCCTGGGTCAGACCTCATGTTAGCATTTGCTCACTTAGTGTGACCCTGGGCCACTACCCAAGTCCTTGGAGCCTCAGTGCCCCAGGTGATGAGGACAGTGCCCACAGTGCAAACAGTTACTCAGTGCGTCAGGCCCCAGCACAGGGCCTGGCTCTCATCTCCTGCCCGGCCCGGACCTGCAGCTGCGTGAGCACAGAAGCTGTGCCAGAGGGGACATCATCTCCTGCCAACACCCCCTCCTCGCTGGGAAACTGCTGGAAGGCTCCTGTTGGGACCTGTGGGGCTGGGCAGGTCACAGGGGGCCGTGGCAGAGGCTTCAGCACAACCTGCCCGTCACCTGGGCAGCTCCCTCCAGAGGAGGCTGGCGAGGCAGGGACAGCACGGGGAAGAGCCCCCTAATGTCCTCTCGCTACAGGGTGAAGGTTAGGGTTAGCCTTCTCCCTGGTGTCTGAAAAGTTCTGAGGCTGTTTGCAGCATCGGTAAGGAGTCCAGCTCCAGGCTGAAGTCCTCTCTGTGAACCTGCAGGCTCAAACTTTCAGGCAATTAATAGGGCTTTACCTGGCTGGCCTCACAGGACAGCTGCTCTCCTCACACCAGCCTGGGTGCAGCCAGACCTAGCAGTCTCTGAAGGGAGCTACAGTCAGAGACCAAGCCGCGGGGGCCCCACATGGGACGGGCCAGCCTCACTGTTCCGCACATCTGCACCCCGCCTTGGCGCCCGCTAAAGCACCTGCTGAGCCCGCCTCACCCTAGGGACCTTGAAGGCACCTTCTGTGCCCAATACTTTTCCACTCTGAGCCCTTCCCTTCCTCCTCTCGCAGCTCCCAAGCCCATGAATCAGCAAGAGCCCTCTGCTCAGGGCTCTGTCAGCAGGACACCAGCCCTGTCTGCGCTGAGGCTTCAGACTCTCCTGGTGCCTTCCATGGGGGAGAATGGCATGCAGTGGAGCCGACCCCTCCTGCCTAGCCCGTTAGGACACTATTGTGGCAGTGGGCACCCCAACTGTTCCCTCTTTAGCTCCTGTCTTCACTGACCACCTCAACACCTGGCAGCTCAGCTCACCCCAGCTCAGCTGGCAGCCCGCAGCACCTGGCTGCCCTTACTTTCCCGTCTGTAAAGTGAGGCTAATAACAGAAGTCTCCCAACACCAGGGAAGAGAAAAGAAGTGAACATATTAGCTACCCAGCATGGTATCTGCACAAAGAGCACGTCCAGGAACGCTGATGCCCTCCAGCCAACCTCACTGGGTAACAACGACAAGAAAGACACTCAACTAGGAGCAGAAAGCGAGGGCAGCCAGGATGATAGGTCAGTGGTTTCTGGATGCAGCGATGACTCCATCCAACCAGGACAGTGACAAAAGCTTCAGTGACTCGTGCAGTTATTCCTTCAAGGAGTGAGGATTTGAATTGCAGACGCTGACGGTCACAGAAGTCTGAGAGCACCCGTGCCCTCGGGTCAGGCTGGCCTTGGCCATCTGCCTGGGAAGCACTTCTGTGCCTCCAGTGGTGGCTACAGCATCACAGAGAGGGAGGGTGGAGACGGAAGAGGCCTCAGTCAAAGTGCCACAGACCCTGCTTGCTCGTCTGAGATTCAATTGTTTTTCTCGAACAAATGCTTTTTAGTGAGCATGCCTTTGTTTCTAGAATTCTGAATATTTTTTCAAAACAATTCTTCCAGTTCTTTCCCTGCCTCAGCGGTGGAGATGTCTCCAAGTCCTAACTGCCATTCTGTAACTCATGCCCCTCTCCCTTGAGGGATTTATATTCTGGCTGCCTCACCCACTAATACAGGCAGCAGCCTTATTTGTAACAAGATTGGCAACAACCTGAACGTGCACGCTGACAGCAGGGTGGGGCTGCCACGCACACTGACTCTATGGAACACTTTGTAGGTCTGAGACAGACGGAGGCAGCTCTTCCTGGGCCAAGAAGCCACGGCTCTGACATACGCTGAGCAAACGCCGCAATGGGGTGAGTACGTAGTTACAGTCACCCTATGTGCACAAAACCCCGGGATACCCAGGACACCCAGCACCATGGGTTGCCTGCTGGGAGGGAGGGGGAAAACCAGAGAATGCAGACATATTCATGCCTAGATTCTTGAGCTTTTCCTTTACATTTTGTGTGTTGCTAATTCAAAAATCAAATTCTTTAACTAAATTTTAAATAATTGTAAATTAAAAAGAAAAAATATGAAACCCGTTTCCTGTGAACGACTGAGCAGTGTTCTTGGGGTCAGGAGGAATACAAACTTAGCCATGCAGTGTTCCAGTGACTGGGGGAAGGGGATGTACATTTGGTGAAGCCGGAACCCATGAGAGGGATGCCTGGAGGTGCTGGAGATTACCTTGAGCAACTCAAGTGAGTGCAGAGTTCTCATCAACCAACACCCTACATGAGCCAGAATCCCAACACAGTAACACCCCACATGAGCTCAGGATCCCATCATAACAACACCCCACATGAGCTCAGGATCCTATCACAACAACACTCCACATGAGCTCAGGATCCCATCACAACAACACCCCACGAGCCAGAATTCCATCACAACCAACACCCTACATGAGCCAGAATCCCAACACAATAACACCCTACATGAGCTCAGGATCCCATCATAACAACACCCCGCATGAGCTCAGGATCCCATCACAACAACACTCCGCAAGAGCTCAGAATCCCATCACAACACCACCCCACATGAACTCAGGATCCCATCATAACAACACCCTACATGAGCTCAGGATCCCACCACAACAACACTCCGCAAGAGCTCAGAATCCCATCACAACAACACCCCACGTGAACTCAGAATCCCATCACAACAACACCCCATGTGAACTCAGGATCCCAACACGACAACACCCCACATGAGCTCAGGATCCCATCACAACAACACTCCACATGAGCTCAGAATTCCATCACAACAACACCCCACGTGAACTCAGAATCCCATCACAACAACACCCCATGTGAACTCAGGATCCCAACACGACAACACCCCACATGAGCTCAGGATCTCATTACAACATCCCACATGAGCTCAGAATCCCATCACAATAACACTCCACATGAGCTCAGAATTCCATCACAACATCCCACGTGAACTCAGAATCCTATCACAACACCCCACATGAGCTCAGGATCTCATTACAACAACACCCCACATGAGCTCAGAATCCCATCACAACAACACTCCACATGACCTCAGGATCCCATCACAACACCCCACGTGAACTCAGAATCCCATCACAACAACACCCCACATGAGCTCAGAATACCAACACAACAGCACCCCACATGAGCTCAGGATCCCATCACAACACCACTCCACGTGAGCTCAGGATCCCATCACAACAACACCCCATGTGAGCTCAGGATCCCATCACAACAACACCCCACGTGAGCTCAGGATCCCATCACAACAACACTCCACGTGAACTCAGAATCCCAATACGATAACACCCCACATGAGCTCAGGATCCCATTACAACAACACACCAAAGCCAGAATTCCATCACAACCAACATCTCACACGAGCTCAGAATCTCATCACAGCAACACCCCACATGAGCTCAGAATCCCAACACAGTAACACCCCACATGAGCTCAGAATCCCATCACAGCAACACTCCACAGGAGCTCAAGATCCCATCACAACAACACCCCATGTGAACTCAGAATCCCATCACAACAACACCTCACATGAGCTCAGGATCTCATTACAACAACACCCCACATGAACTCAGAATCCCATCACAGCAACACCCAACATGAACTCAGAATCCCATCACAGCAACACCCCACATGAGCTCAGGATCCCATCACAACGACACCCCACGTGAACTCAGAATCCCATCACAACCAACACCCCACATGAGCTCAGAATCCCATCACAACAACACCCCACATGTGCTCTGGATCTCATCACAACACCCCATGGGAACTCAGAATCCCATCACAACCAACACCTCACATAAGCTCAGAATCCCATCACAGCAACATCCCACATGAGCTCAGGATCTCATCACAGCAACACTCTATATGAGCTCGGGATCTCATCACAACAACACCCCACATGAACTCAGAATCCCATCACAACCAACACCCCACATGAGCTCAGGCTCCCATTACAAGAACACCGCACATGAGATCAGGATCTCATCACAACAACACCCCACATGAGCTCAGGATCCCATCACAACAACACCCTATATGAGCTTAGGATCCCATCACAACACCCCACATGAGCTCAGAATCCCATCACAACCAACAACCCACATGAGCTCAGAATCTCATTACAACACCACCCCATATGAGCTCGGGATCTCATCACAACAATATCCCACATGAACTCAGAATCCCATTACAACACCCCACATGAGTTCAGGATCCCATCACAACAACACCCCACATGAGCTCAGGATCCCATCACAACAACACCCTATATGAGCTCAGGATCCCATCACAACAACACCCGACATGAGCTCAGGATCCCATCACAACAACACCACACATGAGCTCAGGATCCCATCACAACACCACCCGACATGAGCTCAGGATCCCATCACAACAACACCCGACATGAGCTCAGGATCCCATCACAACAACACCCGACATGAGCTCAGGATCCCATCACAACAACACCACACGAGCCAGAATTCCATCACAACCCCACATGAGTTCAGAATCTCATCACAACAATACCCCACATGAGCTCAGAATTTCATCACA